GCTCACACCTGTAATCCTAGCACTCTGGGAGTCTGAGGCAGGAAGATCACTTGAGACTAGAAGTTTAAGACCAGCCTGAGGAAGAGCGAGACGTCGGCTCTACAAAAAATTAGCTGGGCGTGGTGGCGTGCACCTGTGGTTTCAAACTACTCCGGAAGCTGAGGCAGGAGGATCACTTGAGCCCAGGAGTTTGAGGTTGCAGTGAGCTAGGATGATGTCACCACACTCTAGCCCAGGCAACAGAATGAGACTCTGTCTCAAAAAAAAAATTGTTATTTCAGGAGTATAAGACTACACTGTTAATATTAGTCTATATCTATTAACAATTTGTAATTTAACCTCTTAAAATTCCATAGGTGACATAATGTTTTTATGCAAAGTAAAGCATCTCTCAGCTCTAACTTACATCTGGTGGAAACACGGTATGTTTCTAAGCTGATATAGTAAATACGTTTATCATCTATTTATTTTTATATTCAACTGATTCAATATTTATCTGTAACCAAATATTACTCTAAATTTTCTTTCAGGAAGTCTGAAAAATATTTCTTTCTTGATACTTACTTCTCTTTCTGCTTTCTCATTTTCATATTGATACTGTCTTTCTTTCAAATGATTACATTCATTGATTAACTCTTTATTTCTTTCTTCTAGCAGAAGACTTTGCTTCTCACTCTCAGCTTCAAGTTTTTTTACTATAGCATGAAATTGGTCCTGGATACTAATTACTGTCTTTTCTTTATTATCAGCTTTGTTCTGAGCATCATCCAGTTGCTGTCGAAGCAACATATTTTCACTCTGTAGTTGAGATAATCTCTCCTCTACAGATTCCTGCTTTCCAATGTATTTATTTACTTTACCTTGTTCGTTTTGATACATTTGTTCAATTTCCTTCATTTGACTCTGTGTTTGGCTAAGGTCTCTCTGTACACCTTCTAAAACCAAAGTCTTTTCTCTGAGAGCATCTCTTGTGTGATGGAGCTCAATTTCCAGGCTATTGAATTTGCTTTCAGTTCTAGAAAGTTGCTGAGAAAGAATCTCATTGTTATCTTTGAGGTTAGACACATCAAAATTCATTTTGTCCTGTAATCGAAACCACTCCTCTCTTGCTCTCTGGAAAGCAAGTTCTAGGTCTCTTTTTGATGTCTGACTTTGATCACAATCATGCATAGCAGCAGCCAGTCTAGAACGATATGATTCAACTTCTGTTTCCAGTCTTTCCTTAGTTTGTTTTTCATTTTCCAGTTTAGAATTCAGCATTGTATTCTCAGCTGTCAGAACACTAAGTTGTCCACTATACTGGGATATTGTTTTTGTTAATGTTTCCTCATTCAGTTTTATAGTCTTTTGAAGGTCATCATTCTTTTCTTTCACAATTTCAATATCCTCAAAATATTTCTTTTCCTTTTCCTGGTTCTGAATTTTTATCGTGTCTATTTCCAGTCTTAGCATGGCAATTTCATCCTGCAACATGTGATTTTTATGCAACAGGTCTTCTTCGTTTTCATGACTATGAGAAACCTAAGTAAAACAAAGGAAACTTCTAGCTAGCATTCAAGTAAAGCAACGTATCACAATTTCCTCTGAAATTAAAGAATAACCTGTACATTTATATAATAAAAGGGTTGTAATAAGTGGATATCCAAATGGAAAAATTGTTGGATCAAAATCTCAAACTTCACAGAACATAAATTCCCAAGAGTTCAAAAATTTATTTGAAGACAATGCATCGGTGAATGTAATAAATAAACCACTACAGAATTTTAAGAACCTCAGAATTGGAAATGTCTTTCGCTGAATTACAACAAAACCAAAGGTATAAAATAAAAGATTA